TCTATTAGTCTGGTTAAAAGAAATGATTCTTTTTGCAGTCAAGAGACAGTGCAATAATGAGATAGGGAAATGCTTATGTATATATATAAAAAACATCTGAAAGAACCTGGAGTCATTTGGGATACAGAACACAGAAATGTGCAGCAGCTTTTGAATATATTAATATATGTATGTTGGACCGGGATTATGGGGCAAAAATACATTTCTTCTGTCTCTCTCTTCTCCAGTTCCCAATTCTGAGAATTCCCAATCAGCACAGCTTTCACCTGGCTGAGTGAAGGACAAGTCCCATAATGCATTGTATCTCTGTCAGTCTGTCTCCTTTTCTTCTGTTAGTTTTTCTGCACTTAATTCATGCATTTGGAGAATGAATCTGTTGAACTCAACATGTCACCAGCTTCTCAACAGGGTCCTCTTGGGGAGAGCCACGTCTCAGCAGGAGTGACACAGAGCTCAATTAGGTCCATCTTTTCAAACTGTAGAGATGTTGATCTCATTTTAATCACGAGCTTACAGCCAAGGCTTTGAGCTACACGGGGCTTATTAATCTGCTCCCACTCTGAAACATCCAGGGTCAGACACTGTTTTAAGTGTTACCGCTCTATTGTTTTTCTTAACTGTCGCCATCCTTGCACACCCAGAACTCTTGTTATGAAAACTGGAGTTTGTAACTCGCCTGATCATTCCACATCCAATTCGATTCCAAGCTTTCAGCAGATCCTATCATGACAGTTCCCAGCTGTGAGGGTACCAAACAGAGTGGAAATGCCTTAGCGCCACAAGGCTTATTTTAGCCCACCAAAACAGTTTTCCAGTTTGACAAGCCCAATGGTTCAATTAAGGCCATGTCCCCACGAGGGACATATGGTGTCTTTCAGCATCACACATGAACTGATAGAAAGCCTCACTGATGCTACTGTGGTCCTATGATGCTTGCTTGGATGACTATAGAAGACATCAGAAGCTGCAAGTGGGGAAATACGAAGGTAACATGGCTTCCATTACAGAATTTTGCTGCTTGTGGTCCTTTCCATTCAGGGTCTCTGCTCCATGGAAGAAATCTCAAATATGTTGCCAGAAGGATCCAAGGATTTTCCGTTTCATGTATGCTTGGATCAGTCACAGTCACTTCTGTGGGACCCAAGTTAAATTTAAGCAACACAGGAGTGCGAGCTTAACGCCCAGAGCAGAATGCAGGCAGGGATCAAAATAAGGAATGGGTGGGAAAGTTGTTTAATTCCCTTGAGGAATAAGAACCTATGAAAATCTGCAATCTTTTTCCATATGCAAAATAGAAACAGCTTGAATTTGTTTTTAATGAAAAATGGCAGAAATTTCAACTGACATCCCAGAAGAGGCTTTTATGTACTCAGCTCTTAAAAATCAGTTTTAACCCTCACATATTTAGTGCCTTTCAGAGAAGTTACAAGTACAATTCCCATAGACCTGGCTGATTGCAATAAGAAACATATCCCAATGTATCTTGAAGGGAACCAAGTAAAAAAAGGCAGTAGAAAGTGAATGGGTTTTGATGGCTTACACCTAGAAAGAGCTGAGAAACAAGAGATTGCTATGAATTCATTCCCTGTTCTATTTTAAGTGTGAAGACCATGTTAACTTCTTCAATTTGCAGTAAACGTGAATGCCGTTCATCAAGGCAATATTTATTATCTCCCTGAAGGATGGGAAAGGAATGTTTTACCTTGTGAAGCAGAGATAAAGCCAGAGCTAAACCCCTGTATTCTTTAGCAAGTAATAAACAAGGAACAAAACCAGGGAGATGCTTTGTGTTACTAACTACCTGTTTTTTCACCTCTTATAGCACACAGCATAAAAAGCAAGTCTTAGGGGAAAGCATGTAGTTTATTCTAAAATGACTTGCTTTGACATAGAGGGGACAAAACAAAAAGCAGAGATTATGCCTTCCACGCATTCATGAACCACTAGCTGCATTACTGAGCGGGATCTGGAATTCTTGGCAGCTAAGGTGGAAACAGAAAGGAGGTCAAAAACAGGAGAGATTAAGTAAGATCACAAAAGACTGATCATGATTGGAAACCCCCTGGATGCACATGGTCTCCCCCTTCTCCTCTTCCCTTTACTGGCCCACAAAGCTCAACTAGATCAAGCTGGTGAAGTTCAGGTGCTGCCAGCCCCCTGAAATAGGCCACGTCAGGAAACAGACACCAGATTCCAGAAACGCCACTTGGTTGTTGTGGGGTATGATAGCAGAATCTTGAAAGCCTGCCAGAGTTTCCCTTGGCCCCATCTTATACCAAAGAGAATCAAAGAGGGGTTATTTGGAGTCTCTTTCTCACACTTTCCTCTTTCCCAGGGGACCATAAGGTTTATTGTTCCTTAATGGCTCTTGGTAAAGCTATCTCTGCCTTCTTCTTTTAATCTGGGTAGGTATTTAATTTGCAGAATATGGGAGGATGAATCTCTATCTATTTGACCCACAATGCCATAGACCCCACATAAGAATGCATGGCTCTGACCAGGTTTGTGGTCAGCTCCACCAGCTCCACTAAGAACACATGCCATTAACCCAGACAGAAATACATACAAAGATGCTAATACTTCACCTACCAACCCTCCACCCCCAAAGTACAAAGCCTTTGATCCAATCCCTGAATTAGGGCACCATCAACTCTTTGAGAGATGTATGTTTTCCACACATTAGTGTCAGGCTACAAGCACAGAGTCATCAGACACGGTGAGAAATATGGCACCAGACAAGCACTATTTGTGTTTCAGCAGATCCCATCCAAGAGAGTCCCTGTTTTTCTAGGGACTGCCCAGCTAAAATAGCCCTATTTCCATCACTGAAAATGATGTCTGGCAAGAATGGTGTTTGGCCAGGATAGCTACTGTGCACCCCTACAAGCTCTACCTTTCGCACAATTAACCTGGGCTCTGCATTAGACCTTTTCTGGTATTCTGATCAGAAATGGATAGCTCCTTCAACTGCTAGCTGGCTGCCTCAATGACAGTATGGCTCCAAATCCCCTTGGGCCATTTATCCCATTATCAAACGCTTTTAAGGCAGATAACTTCTTCCTAACATTCAGCTACCACCTCTCTTCCTGTCATTGCAATCCATGTCTCCATGTCCTGCACTCCAGGATAGAATGACAGCAGCTTCAGTATAGGCTGCCTTCTCAGGGGCTTAAGTAAGACAACCCTATCCCACTGGAGTCTTTTTCTCAAGGCCTACATACTCAGTCTCTGCCTGTTGGACTTCCTTTCCGGTGCCATGATTTGCCCTTTTTTGCACCTGCCCGTTTCAGTAGATGATGCCCCCCTGCCCAATTCTAGTGTTGTAAGAGAGGTAAGAAAAGGAAAAAAAAATCTCCGGTCACTTTCCTCTCGGAGCGCATGATGATAAAACTTTGGTCAAGTTTCCCACTTCCCCAGACCTCTTCCAATATACTGCACCTCATGGAGTTGGTGACTGCTTCTGCTGACCAAGCTACATTCCCCACACACAGTTCCACAACCAACTTAAGCCAAGAAACTGACAGCAGATACCCAACAGCCTCTTCTGCACTCGGGGGGAGCAAGAAAGGGGCTACCCATATTTCCAGCGACTCTGTTTGGCAAGAAACTTCGCGGACAAGAGGCACCTTGCTATAGAGCCATGCAAATAAGAGCGGAAAGGAGTAAAAAGACCCAAATAAGGATTTTGAAAGTGAACCGGGGGAAGCTGCAGATAAAATAGGCGAATGTTCTCACAAAACCCGGATTCAGTTCTGGGGAAGTCTATAGGATACTAGACACACTTGAAAGGGAATAAAAACAGCACAGAACTCCATAAAGCCAGCATATTGTTAATTTATGTGGATAAATATATTTTCTAAAAATAACAAGAGAATGCTACTTTTTTCCATGCCAAGGGCAACACTCAAGCTTTAAATAGGATGCCGGAAGCTGTTAGTCCAAAAACTAATGAGTGGGGGGCTAAGACCAAAATTATTACATTTCCTTTCAGTTTACCTACACGGACGTGTTATTAAAATTAAGAAAATACATACAATTACTTGGGTCATGTATTTAAAATCATTTCCCTCTCTTGTAAATATTGTATTTTGACAATAATTTAGGGAAGCCTTTGGGGCCTACACCTAATGATTTCTGTCTCTGCAGTATACACACGTGATTTTATTTATCTTCCTTAACCTACTTCATTCTAAGCTAAAAAGCTCAGGCTGCCATAATCTTTCCTTCTTGGGCTGACAGTATGCAGTGTTTTAAAATACTGTTATTGCCTTACTCAATGAAAACATAAACTATTACTTAACAACTTGGCAACATTGAACAGCAAAACAATAAAAATAGCAAGGAACCGAAAACAAACATTTTAAATTGTTCAGTTAAAGCATTTCCTGAAAACCTCAGTTCACAGACAGGTAAAAAGCTTTCTTTACGGTGAAAAGTTTTCACCGCAAAGAAGGGGGAAAAAACATTCACAAGAGGGCCCAGGCAGGCCTGCATTGGGAGAGATTTCCAGATTTAAAACATTACAAGGCTCATCGAACCAAGTCCAAAACCCAGATCCCACAATGGCCACAAAGGGTTGACAAGGAAATGTCCTGCTCCCCAAAAAGACTTCAGTTATGCTGAAGTTATGCTGTTTTCTCCCGCACCTTTTTATCTTCACAAATATCCTGCGAGGTAGGTCACTGAAAGAGATGAACCGGGCAAGTGCAGCCAGGGTGTTTGGGAGCTAAATGGCTCCCCAAATCTGGGATTCCCTGAACAGATCCTCTCTAGAAACCCTCTGGTTCAGAAGTGCAATAGCTCTGACTGGAGTCTCATCCTGCAGACTCAAGGTAGTTTTTCCGTTATTGTGAACCTCATGCAGAAAGTTCACTTCTCCTCTAGAAATGCACTGCCCTGTTCCAATCTTTCCTCTTGTTGGATCCCTGAAGACAAATTTCTCAAAACGTAAAAATAAAGAGCCTATCGGAAGCTGGGCCAAGAAAAACATATCCCCTTACCTCTTTCAATCTTGTTTTCTCTTTCTTTGGTTTCAACGCTCTCCAAGAGCTCCAATTCTTCAGGAGGACTGGCTTCTCAGGAGAAACAAGCTAGGCCAGACTTCTTCCTTGCAGAGAAAGAAGATAACAAGTTTAAAACAAAAGATTCCCACCCAGCACAGGCTCAGGTTCCAGCTAAGTCAACAGGCACCCAAAGCGGCTACATTGAAAACTCAGTTGCCCAAGCAAGAAACAGCATGCAGGAAATACCGAATTGACAAGACATTTCGGTAGGATGCTGTCTTCATGCTCTCATTTGTTATCGGATCCGGAGCAAAGGACGAGAGAGAGTGAGAAATGGTAAATGCTGTTGCAACCTTAAAAGCTGCAGAGCTGTTCCTGTAGAAGCATGTTGGAAGTTGCCCAACTCGCTTTGGCTTCAAAGCCGGGAAGAAGCCTTAGTACTACAAGACCAAAGAGTCTGAGGAGGAGGAGGAGGAGGAGGAGGAGGAGGAAAAGTATAGAGGGAACATACCTCAATTTCTCACTCTCTTTTCTCACTCTTCCTTTGGACAGTTGCAAAGGCTCGCTCTCCCGTTCGCAGACCCAAGTTTCTCCCATACAGAAATCTCCAAAAGGCACGCCCCTCCCACGTACATTTTACATAATGACGGCCCAGAGATTACAGAGCAACTTTTAGCCTCCTTGTTCCAGCTCCAAGGTAACAAGTTCAAAGGGAGGAGGCCAAAGACAAGTGGTGGGGAAGTGCGCTGGCCTAAGGTGGACTCCGTGTGCGTTTTTTTCTTTTTTCTTTTAAACAAAAGGAAACTTGTTCTTCAGGTTGGCAACAGAAAGAAAACTGTTTATTGCTGCATTTGCACACTCCCAGTTTTCCTGTACACTAACAGGCCAGTGATAGGAAAAGGTATGTTCAATTAGCTTACCAGCTGCACATGGGCGGTCTGGTTAACCATTAGCAAGCAAGCCGACTGGATCTGTTCTGGCTTCTGGGATTCCTCATCCTGAACATGTCTGTGACAAGTAATGGCAAAAGTCCTCAAATCTGTCATGAGAAAGAGAGAAGGGGGGCAACACCAGGATTTAATCCCTTACACATGTAAAGGTTAGGTCTGGTGAGTCTGAGCACAGATCAGAAGTGGGGGCCTGGACCCCAATTTCCATAACCTCTGGCCAGCACAGCCAATGATTAAAAGTGATGGGAACAGTAATGCTACAAGGATGTAGATTCCTCAACCACGTGTGAAGGCTAGATTGAGTCCTGGATCTGGGAAACCTGCCACCCCAAAACCAGATTTCTTTTACGCATTTCAGAGTTTCCTCTGACTGCCTCATTGAGTTGCAAGAATATGACAGCTGAAAATCTATGGGATATGTTTACCTACAAAGCGCATATAATCCCAACTTCACTTGAATGCAAGGGCTAAAACAGACTTAACAGGAGGAGGGGAATGAAAAACCTTATCCAGCTCTGCCCACTTCAGTGCTCCCCCCAAAAGATTTGGAAGTTACCAGACACAAACTGGGCTCCAATAAGTGTTATTCTAAAATGTCAGGAAGCTTGACCCTATACAGGAGCGTCCACAGATGTTGTAAAATAGGAGAATGTGAGCCAATGACTCAATAGCACTTACTCCATGAAGGCAGGTTAACTCAGTTTTCTAGGTTCACATAAGATGATGAACCATAAACCAACCATTCAGACAGGGTTCACACAAACATAGATTGAAATGCGACTGGCTATTTTGTAGACTGGTGCTAAGCCTACACAACTGTTGAATCTCTTCTTAAGCATGTATATACAGTTCTTGTTCTTATATACTTACCTGTCATTATTACCCATTTTCAATAACTAGAAAATACAGTAATTGGTCTAAATCCAGAACTGTGAATGCTTAGGGCCCAAGATTCATTGCCTGGTAGGGAGGAGAAATAGGATATAACTGCAGTTCAAGAAGCTTCAACATCTCAATTATTTGTTCATCTCGAAGGGTCCCCAAAACTTCTTCGCTCTGCTCTGAACTGAGAGCACCACTGGTACCTTATGATCAAAACCTGTAAATCAACACACTTCCAAGATAGGGTACAGGAACTACGTAACAGTGAGGAACCTGCAGTCTGGGAAAAAGGATGGGGAAGGTGTCTAGTTAAAGAAGAGAAATTGATCATAACACAAATACATGGAGAAAGTCCCTGAGAGTTACTGTCATCTAACCAGGGGAAAGAATTTCCAAAATTCTTGTGAAGCTCATTTCTGAGCAAGAAAGCAAGATTTATTTATTTATTTATTTTATATTTACTGGATTTCGAGGCCAACCAATTCCAAAAAAGACTCTGGGCGGCTTATATTTTAAAAAATACACAATTTAAAGAAACACGACTGCCCCGACAAAACCACATAAATAACATCCAAGATTATGTCTCTCTCCTGAGTTCCCTGCACTACATGTTCAAGATATAAAAAGGCAGGGAAATGCAGAATGGTATGTATATTTTGCTTTCCTAATAAAAATCTCCTGCATAAAGATACCTTGATTTTCTGCCCAAAATGGGTTTCAGCTACATTGAACTACACGACCCATTGCCAACAATGCTGAGAAATTCATGCACAACAAAACCCAAGGAATCACCAGCAAAGGAATAATGCCTCTCTTTTACCCTAAGAGTTTTCCATAGGTTTTTTTTCCCCAGCCACCATCTTGCCTGCCAAACATTGGCTGCAAATTCTTAGAACTTAATTCTAAATTCTAACTTGGGCCAGTCTAGAGGCTACCATGTTGGAGAGGACATGCTTTCTTAGAACTGCTAGCATAAAATGCTTTGTTATTTTTCCATTCAATCAGTTGCACGGCTTTAATTCTTTGATGGCTGGCCAACCCATGCAAGAGAAGATTGGACTTTCAGCCACAGTCTGACAGGAACTCAATTATATAGAATAATAAACATATGAGATCTTGAGTACAAAGGGCTCTGCAAAACCAGCCACCTGAAGTTCTCCACCCTCCTTGGAGGTGATAAAATTGTTGAGGAGAGGACATTTAGCAGAGTGTCCTCTGTGGCAAAAGCAAGACCCTAAACTGGTTAAACAAAAAGTATTTTCTCAATAATTTTCTCAGGAAATAACTCATGCTAGTGGAATAGGTCAAGAGAATGTTCAAAAGTCCTCCTCCTATACTAATTTCACCATCAACAAATAGGAAATCAAGTTCCAGACACAACTATGGATCCAGCCTATTTTTTTTTAAATCTGAATCACTCCAAGTTCAACAAACCTTACAGTTCATGAGTTCAGCAAGGCGGATCCTAATAAATTGGTTCATACACTTTGCATCTGTCAATCCACTTGAGAGAAAAAAAGGCTGTGGACTTCAGTTTCTCTCACTTTCTAATTTTTCCAGTCTGAAACTGCATTCCCTTTCACCCAGTTTTCACATCTGGTTGCACAGTTTTAAGGCCACACAAAAATATGTATGTCTTTGGAGCACGTTTTAATATACTCATTTTTGCAAACAATTTTCTCTAATAGTTACATTCATGAATTTCAGTGTACACGAACACATTATTGTGGTGTTAGACTTTTCTCTAACATAAGCTCTTTTGCACACTCGGGATGCTGAGCCGAAGCGCACATCTCAAAATGCCTGTTTACGTTCACATCTTGGTTTAAGGAGAAGGAAGGGGATGCTGAGCCGAAGCGCACATCTCAAAATGCCTGTTTACGTTCACATCTTGGTTTAAGGAGAAGGAAGGGGATGCTGAGCCGAAGCGCACATCTCAAAATGCCTGTTTACGTTCACATCTTGGTTTAAGGAGAAGGAAGGAAATAGGCTGGAATATCCATACTATGCACTGAAAAAACTCCATCCATCAACATGGCATTAGCCATCTTTGACTCCAAAGTTAATGTCTTATGCCCTACCGCCATCACATAAAACTACAAACCATGGATTATTAGCCACAATAGCTGATTCACACAAAAAACTAAATCAAAATCAACCAAAGCACCATTAAGACTTAGTACAATGTATGTACTCAATTGCAGGCTGCAAAAATCTTGACGACGATTGGATGTCAGGAAAAAGACACCTTAAACTTTAGAAATAGTCTGGAATTTGGCAGCCCAGATCTAGCAGCTCTAATTACCCTGGTTAATGTTTTCCTCACTTCTTGGGGAACTTCAGCTTGGGGGAATCAGGACTCAAATATCAGGCAAAGAACTATCAGCCTGGCTGATTCTGCAGCTCCGAAGCAGCAGCGGTTTGGCTCCTCCGGCTCAATTTCAACATCTGCAAAATGGGGCCAGTGAAGCATTACTCACTTGCTTTTGTAGGAACCATGGAGCCTGTGGTTAAGGAACACCCTCGGCCCTAAACCTGTTCTCTTGGAAGCATGGCCTTAAAATCACAACTTTTAATCATACACACGCAGGCACCTTGTTGAAAGCAATTGCCAAAGTGAAAGGAGAAAACATCTGCAGTTCCTGAACGGGCTTCCGTTCCAACCCCTTGGCATAATCTGGATTTACAGACTCAAGAGGACACAATAAAGTCTGGGTAGGAAGTTACCCCTGTTCCAAAACACCAGTACTATATCAGAAACATTCCGGGCAATGGTTCTGAGTTTGGACGTGATTTGGGGAGGCAAGAAACGAACCCTTCTAGGATTTCATTTTCTGCACCCATAATAATGGAACGCCCATTAATCAAACACATTCTATTGTTATCATGCAAAAACTACAAACATTTCTGAAAACATGGCTTCTATAGAAATAAACCATTTTAATGTCTCATTTAATGGCTGCAGTCCTCCTGTTTTTATTTTCTTGGCAGATAAGTTCTTTCAGAGCTCCACAGGAGGCTTCATCTCAAGTAAGCAAGTCTGGGACCCAGCTGTAGCCAGATGCAAATTTCTCAAAAGGAGAAAAAAAAGAACAAAACTATTCCATCTGCCCCAAGGATACTTAAACAGGATAAAGAGAGCAAAAACTATTTAAATGATTAAGCAGCAAAGTAATAATTCAGGTAAAACAGCTGCCTAGTTCAGGACTGCACAAAATCATGTTTTCTTTAATCATGGTTTATTAAGTAACCCACAGTCGGCTAGGTTCACATATTGTATGAAGTCAAAACCAAACAAGCCACGTTATGGGTTAGGTTAATCTGCAAACACAGCAAAAGCAGTTTGGTATTAGATCAAGAACCAGCTTTAAAACCACCTTAGGAAGAGATGGAAATCCAGTTGTTCAAGTGTGCAATTCCAAACATTCTAATTATGGTCAAGTGTGTTCTGCAAGCCCCATTGGTATGAAGAAGCATTTACATTCAAGTAAAAATACTTATTTAGGCTGCTGATCAGATCTGGGCGAAGTCCCACCCGTGTGTATGTCAAAATGAAATGGGCTATTCCTTTTTTTTCCCCTCAAAAGATTTGCACCATTAGATGAATTTTAGCCAGTGTGGTTTAGTAGTTAAAGTGCTGGATTAAGAGAGGGGAGACTTGGGTTCTTTCTGCCCTCAGCCATAGGTGACTTTGGGACAGCCACTCTCTCTTCAGTCCAGCCTACTTAGAGAGTTGCTGCTCTTGTGGATAAAAATAGGGGGAAACAGTGCTGTGCACACCAGCTTGACCTCCTGTACAAAAGACAGAATACAAATCTAACAAACACATTTTATCCTAATTATGCTGTCCCAGAGATAGCTCTATGCTATCAAGCACAAACTTTAAAATAATGCAGTAA